CTCTATAATACTTATATATAGTCTTATTAAGTCTTAGAACCTTGCTGTGATGCTAAGAAGCTCTTATTAGCCTTGTGGCTCCTATTGCACACAAATTTATGCAAGGCTAGTATCCTAGTTAGTACCTCTAATTAAACTAACTACTAATTTCAGCTAGTGCAATTATTGTAGCATAATTTATTTATAATAACTACTTAGCCTATAGCTATACAGAGCCTTAGCGGCTTAGCAGCTGGGCTAACCTTAGCTAGAGTTGGCAACAATTAAGTCAACTTAATAACTTAACTTAATTAACTTAATTAATAGCTGTTAATTAAGTTAATTAGCTAGGCAAAATTTACTAAGTTAATTAAGTAAATTATGCCTACTTAATTAACTTAATTAATAGACTTAAATCTCTAGGATCTTAAGTTTACTAAGGGATATAAGATCCTTTAGTGTGTAGGAGTAGTAAATATAATATAAGGCAGCTTAGCTTTAAGGGACTTTAGAGTTGTAATAGTTGCCTAACTAGGCTTAGCGCTATATATCTAAAATTCCTTAACTTCTACTGCCTACTAACTTACCTGCCTCTACTACATATACAAAGGCTGGCTAGACAACTGCTACCTTAGCTTTTAACACTTATAGGCAGAGTTTAAAGACGCCACTTCTCCTGTTAGTACTCTAGAGCCTCTACTAAAGAAGGCACGTACAGGGCTAGCTAGGAGCTAGTTAGATTTTATAAAAGCTGCCTTATAAGGTAATAACGCCTGCCTAACTTATTACTATAATAAGTTTAAGCGCTAGATAATTAAGTTACCTATACTAAAAAAGTCCCTATTTACGCACAACCTAATTCTGTACTAGATAGGGAAGGCTAATAAGTACCCTATCTTATTACGCTTTGCCCTTATAATTCTTAGCATCCCTGTAGCAGCTACTAATTGTGAGAGGACCTTCTCTAAGCTAGGTGATTTGCTAGAGACAAGGCGTCTCTGCATAAAGGCAGACCTCCTCTCTGCTTTATAAAGCCTACATAGTTAGAAGCGCCTTAGCTTAAAGTCTATAAAGTTAGCAAAAAGTCTACGTAGTAATACTATCTCTCCTAAAGACCTAAAGACTATCTACAAGATATACAGCAGTTAATTTACTATGTAATCTATTAATTAAGTTAATTAAGTTAATTAAGTTAAGCCTTACTTATGCTATTAAGTTAATTAAGTTAATTAAAACGTGCTAGATCTGTTAATTAATTAAGCAATTCACCTAGACTTAATTAACTTAATTGTTGCCAACTCTGACCTTAGCCCTGCAGCCTTACAATCCCTGCTTAGCCTTTAGCTATACTGTTAGTTAACTAACTTAACTCTCTAAAAAAGCCTTACCGAATTCTGCTACCTTACAAGGTCTGTGTTAGTGCAGGTTGGCTATCCTCCCTGCTAGTGTAATTAGAGTTTGTTAGTTTGACAAGGCAGAAGTGGCAAATTTATAAGTTATGTAGAACTTTCTAGAAGTAGCTGTCTAGCCAACCTAATCTAGAGCATGCTTGAAGCTTCGCTGTGGCAAATCTATAGTCTATATATTAATGCTAATCCCTGGCTCTCTATAAAACAGAGAGAATAATAAATATATAATAGTAAATAAGAATAGTTTAAATAGTCCTAATACTTGTTACCCTTAACATTACATATTAATACCCTTCTATAGCTAGTAGCAATACTAATTATATTCTGAGATACTGTAAAACATAACAGCTGATATTCTAATGGTAGCTATAAGGTGTTCTCTAAATTGTAGGTTATCCAGTTACTATCTGAACTTATGGCTAGGCCTTGATAACCTGTCTCGTCGTGGGACCCGGATGCCAGCCGTGTCGAGTCGGGCGAGAAGGCGACCGAGATGACTACATTGCTATGGCCCTTGAGCGTCGACAGGCAGGCGCCGCTGCTCGCGTCCCAGATCTTGACGGTGTTGTCGTCCGACCCGGACGCCAGCCGTGTCG